TCTAGATACAGGTTCACTCTGAAACCAGGCGTGTGATTATATCAGATACCATCCGTGGCCATAGATTTACTGAGGAAGATTCAGTCTGGGACCTAAAAGGTATGACTTTGTCAGACAAAGGCTCTGGCAATGGATTTCCTGCTAAAGAGTTAAAAGCCTGGGGCCGCTGTGGGAGTGTACATAAATGTTCTGGTGAAGATTCAGTCTGAAGCCACGATGCTGTTATTATTTCAGTTCCATGCTTACTCCGTAGACTACATGGAGAATATCCAGCCTGCAGCCATTGTGTTGTGACTCTATCAGCTCTAGTTTGTGTCCACAAGTTTGTTGGTGGATATTCAGCCTGAGCCCATGGCAGTGTGACTGTATCAGATAGAGGTCCTGATGGAGAATCACTCTGGAGCCATACTGTGACTGTAGGAGCTACAGCCTTTGTCCAAAACTCTACTGTTTGAATTACAATATCAGTCCATAGTTTAATTGTATCTGACATAGATACACTCCATAGATTTATTGTTGGAGACTCTCCCTGAGACCATAGTGTAAAGCTATTGATTGTCTTTGTTAAAGGACTTAGTACTGGAAATTCATCTTTGGACCACAGTTTTTCTACATCTTCTAGTGTGTGAACCCATTGATTTACTACTGGAATTCATCTAATGTCCATATTGTGACAGGTGTAGATTGTGACCTGGGATTTCCTTTTGGAAATTCAAATGTTTTATTAGTCCACAGAGCATGTATATCAGATACAGTCTCTGACCAGAGATGTATTTCTTGAACTTCTTGCTGAATCCATGGTGCAGTCAAAGGATTTATTCCTTGAGTTTTATCCTGAATCCATGTTTTGACTACATCAGATTCACCTTGTATCCAGAGGTTTGATGATTGAGATTCAGCCTTGGTAAAAATTATTTTTGTTTCAGATAACAGATGTGCCCGTGAAGTTGCTGGTGATTTAGTACAAGTCCATTGTGTGACTATATGAGTTTCAAACTGTTTCCTGGGATTTAATGCAGACTTAGTTTCATCCCACAGTGGGACTGTTCCAGTTTCAAACCATACCAAGGGATGTATTGATAGAGAATCAACCTGGGTCCACAATGAGACTGAATCAAATTCAGAGACAGCCCATGTATTTACTGCTGGATATTTTGTCTTCAACCACAGCATGGCCATATTACTTACAGTTTTTGTTGAGGGACTAATTTCTGAAAGTTCAGCTTGGGCCCACAATGTGACAGTATCAACTACATTTTTGGTCCAAGCATATATTGCTGATTTATTCTGGGTCCATGTTGTCACAGTATCAAGTATATGCTCTAAAAATGGAATTAATATTGGAGACTCAGCTGAGGTCCAAGGTGTGAAAGTATCAACTTCAGATAATGATACTACGTCCAGGGATGTAGTATTGGAGATACAAACTGGGTTGACATTACAGCTATACCAGTTTTATATTGTGTCCATGCCTTTAGTTCTTGAAAATGAAACTTTATCCATGTTGTAATTGTCCAATTACTTATTATTGGACTTTCAGCCTGAGTCCGTGATATGACTGTGTTAGTTTCAGAGTGTGTCCAGGAATTTATTTCTGGAGACTCAGGTTGTGGCCATTGTTTTACTGTACTGTCTTCATTTTGTACCCTAGATTCAGATACATCAACATCAAGCTTCTTTAAGGTATTGGTTATATAGGTGCTATGTTGTATCCAGTCTTTTAACTTATCAGCCATAAATTGGGTCCAGGGACTGACTATTTCAATTTCAGACTGTATCCAGTTGTTAGATGTTTGAGAGACTGTCACCATAGGAGTATGCAACCAAAGTCTGACAGTGTCATCCTGAGTTTGAGTCCAAATTCTAGGCATAGTACGTTGGGTCCAAAAGTACACTTTTTGAAATTCATTTTTCTTCCTATTTTTAAACACATCCATTTGTGTGCAGTACCAATTTAAGATTCTACCAGCTGTAGTCTCAGACCAAGAATGGTTTGTTTGAGACTCAAGTTGATTCCAGGTCCTAATTATATTAGTTGGTGTCTGAAACCAAGCTCTGACATTATTAACTTCTGGTGTTGTCCATGGTGTAACTGTATTAACCATAGACTGCATCCATGGCCTGAATGTAAATGCTTCAGATTTTTTCCATGCTTGGATACTTCTACCTTCAGACTGAATCCCTGTTCTGACTATATAAACTTCAGGATGGATAAAATGTCTGGGAGTTTTAAAGTCTGTTTTTGTCCTCAGTCCTGTGTGATCAGACTTAGACCAGAACAAGTATCTAGCTGTACTAAATTCAGGTTGGCTCCATGGTATGGCTGTGTCAATTTCATTTTGGGACCAGGACCTAATTGCTCCTGCTTTGGGCTTCAACCAATGTTTGTTTTTACTTTTTTCATCCTGGGTTCTAGGGCTGCCTATTTGAAATCTATGCTGAATCGAGGGTCTTACTTTTTCAGGTTTAGTCTCTAACCAAGGTTTTGAGTTTATCAGCTTTCAGCTGAGTTAAGGGTTTTCCAAACTGGGTTTCTGAATAGGTCCAGGTTTGGACAATGTCTGATTCAGGCTGAGTCCAAGGTCTGCTCATATCACCTTTAGACTGAATGAAGGACTCAATCACATTAGCAATTGAATGGCTCAAGGACCATACTGTATCTTTAGTTTTCATTTGGTATTTGAAGATAGTAGCCACATGCCCACTCAGTGTATCAATACAGTCCATTTGGTTTGATGGTCTCATCTTACTGTCTTCATATTGGGTCCAATGTCTAGTAGAATCACCTTTAGATAAAGCCAAAGATAAAGGCATATTGAATATATAGGATATCAGATTTGATTTAGATTCAGGGAAAATCCAGTGATTATCTGTTTTTTTCTACAGTTTCTTGGGATCCCAGTGTATCCAACACTGGCTGAAACCATGGTTCCAAAGTATGGATTACTGTAGTATATGGGTTTCCAACTTCATGAGTGAGGTCTGTGTCCACAATTCAATTTTGTTAACTAATAAAGGAACCCATGAATGCATTTGATAGTTTCCTAAATTAGCACCAGTGTTTACTGTTTCAACTACATGATATGTTTTAGTTATAATATGCTCTTTACGAGATTGATTCCACATCATTGTTTCTGTTTTATCTGGTACAGAGTGTGGATGTGTCCAAGATCTATACTCAGGGGTAATTTCTAGCCAGGATCTACCTATGAATTGTCCATGTTTAGGAAACATACTAACTTTAATTTGAGAGTGAACATTACTAATATCAGAAGAAACTTGGGATCCATCTCTGTCACTTGAAAACAGAATCCAGGATCCACCAGCATTAATTAATGATAGAGTAGGAAGCCCAGTTATGCCAGCAAATGGTTTAGTCCAAGATGTTACTGAATCAGTCATACTTTCATGTTGATATTTCATTGTATCTCTATACAGGTCTTGAGATACAGGCATATCAACATTTTGGGGACTCTGATGTCCAGAATTAATCAAAGATCCAGAAGTATCAACTATTGGGGTATTCCAAGGACTATTTATTTCAGGAAGATCCCACGTTTTGGCAATTGGAGAAGTCCAGGATTGTGCCATTGCAAATTTGTGAGGTGAGGAGAGCTGATCATTTTGAAAGTATAACTGCTCACTGCCAGGAAAAGAGTCTCCATTATTTAAAACAGAAAGCACTGGAGGAGGATTCCGTCGCTGTCTGTACACTGGGGAAGTGCCTAATCTTCTCCTCCATGACTGTACAGAATATCCATGGGAGGCCAAAACAGCAGAGCCTGTGTTAGAGCTAAGCCTGTCTTGCAGATCATGTACTATTCCAGGGAAAATACTGCAGAGTAGGGAAAACATAGGATCCAGTGGCTTCCGGGGTGCTTTGGCAAACTGTCTCATCCATGATACATATGGGGCTGTCTTGATGATAAGAATAGGATCATGACATGCCATTGAGGATTCACTGACCAGGCCTACCAGTTCCCAGTGACTGCCAAAGAGACAGAGAACAGGACTGCCTTGCTGTACCTGAATGAGGAAACACAGATAATCCATATGTACACAACAGATCATTATAGGATAAACTATGGAATATATATATACTTTTATGTATGTCTATAAATAACATTTATAAGGTTTTCTACATGTTGTTTTATAAGTGGATTAAAATATTACATACATATTTTTCTATCACAAATATATTACATGTGACATAATGACAACAATAAAATGTTATATAGTACATGTGTCAAGAGCTCTAAGATACAATCTAGATACAAAATGCTTATAACGCTTGTTAAAAGAGGAAAATGAAATGCTAAAGGGAAGTTAAGGAAAATTTCCAAATACTACAAAAATCAGCTATGTTCTCAATATTATTAAGTTGATGTAAGTTTTCCCTCTAGTTGTATGTTTTTGTTTAAAAAACCAAGTCTACATTTGTTTTTTAGGAATGAATATTGAAATAATTTCCTTCATCATGCATTTTCATATCTTCTGCATCTTCACATATAACAATTTCTAATGGCAGTTTTATTTTTCACTCCCTATTTATTTTGTGTTGTTTCCTTGTGTTCACTTTTATATTTATAAATTTTGCCTTATAAACTAAATATATCACAGAAATGTCCCATTTGAGTTCCTAGATCAGGCACTAGTTAAAAATAAAACTAGTGGTAAACATATATTTTCAGTACTAATTTTTATGCTATTCTATATTCTCTGAATCCATAACTATCTCTTATATCTGATCACTTGTTTTCATACTCAAGTTATATTTCTGTAATTGAATTCTAAAAACCCAATCCCAGACTCTAACCACCAATTTGTTTTTCTCATTGTTTCTAAAGGTATTTTTGTAAGTTCCCTACTTCTTAGTGTTTTGTCAATGAAAATATTCCTGCTTTGTTATCTTAGTATAAATGTCTCTATCAATCCTTACAGAATTTTACATGTATTTCTATAAACAACCCCAATGGTAACTTTGCCCTTATAGTAAGTACCCAGCAATCTTCTTGGGGGTGACTCCAGATACATAAGTTATTATGTTTAGCCATGTGGATATGTTGATGGTGGCAGAATGAGAGGTCCAGAAGCTTAACTGATAACTTCCTGATACTGGTCCCAAAGTTATTGTGTTCTGAAGGAGTAGAGATGGAAGGATGTGAGATATGGGCTTTTCTGTCTTGTACTCATTTTATAGCATACCTTCCTAAGATTCATAGAGTATATCTTTAAATCATTACATAGATTTTGTGAAGTACTTTGACATTTAATTCCTTGTTATTTCACATGTGTTTATTTCAACTTGTATTTCTCATATACTTGTTTTTCTGTTTTCTTTATAGTGAATAGACATTAATTTTAAGCACTGATATTATCTGTGTTTGCTCTTGCAAAGTGGAGTAATATGGACCCAATTGTTTATAAGATTTTCATGAACTTTGTTTTATTTCTCCACTAATTTGCTTTTTTAAAAATATCAATTTTATGAACGACATGATACAGCAGAATATGATTTTTGTGGCTTACTCTGATATTGGTATACTCTGCAGTGTCTGTACAGGCAGTTATAACAGCTTTTCCAGAAGATATTATAAGTGTGAGAAAGTGGAATTTCTTTCCTCCTAATAGGGTACTGCAGGAGGACCACTCCTATGTCTCCTTTGACTGGATCTTTTCCATCTTGTGGATTAAAACTGGGATGCAGGCAGATTTTATGGCCAAGTAAAATACCTTCTTGGTCAATGACTCCTGAAATATCAGAGAGCAAGTGCTTCCTAATGGAATAGAAAGGTGAAGAATAATACAGTAATATTAAAGTAAATAAAATCAATAAGGTCTCATTTAAACATAATTGTTTGCCAGTGTAATGTCTTTACTTATTTAACAGTGTAATCCAATGACTTTCTACTTTGTATTACTGTACTTTTACCTTGAATAGTGTTTAAATTTTAAACCATCAAACATTCCTACAGTAATTTCACACAAGACAAAAAGCCCTTTACTGCATTAAAGTTCAATGTGAATGTAGATAATAATAAAGCAGTTCTAAAATGTGTACATAGTATGGTTCTTTTTCTTATGGTTTTAGCTATACTCACAATTTAGTCAGACAGCTAGCTGTGGACAGGATCCACCACCGACTCAGAATAATGCCTTGGCAAGTTTCATCCATGGACACTAGCCATGGGATGTTGCTGGCTGCTGACAATGGGGCAATCGTTGGGGTCAATGAGTTTAACCACTGCTTTTGAGAATTAGGTACTATAAAGGGTCAGATGGGGACGAGGAAAACATACCATAAAAAAAAATCTTGTTGAATGATTAATGAGAAATGTCAACCTATTTTTTTTTTGTTTGATGAAGAGGGAAATAGGAGGAAGAATGAGAAGAGGTAAAAATACGGCGGAACAAAATGTAGGATAAGGTAAAATAGGATCATGAAATAAAAATAGGAAATTAGCTAAGTGACAAAGACAAGGGGAAAAAAAGGAACATACTTTAAAGTTGGATGGAAAACAAAAACCAAGTACTAAGACAAAGTCTTAGTAAAGTCATGAAGAAATTCCCAGTTACATATAACTTACCACCGCAGCAGTAAAAAACCAATCCCCAAAACTTATAGAAGCAAAGTGGAGCTCTCATCATGGTTCAAGAAAGTGTGAATGCAAGGTAAGTTTCTAGGAGATAGCTACAAAGTTGAGATTGAAATTTCAGGCTGTAGAATGTCTGACATCATAAAAGCTATTTATGAGACATATGTATTCCTTTCATTATGATCAAATGGAATATACACATAAGAAATAAATGGTATTAAAGGAAAAGGTGTTTTTTAAAATTAAGATTGAGTTGAATTTTTATTCTTTATTTCAATATTAACATTTGCCAGTTTCACATACCGTAAAAAGTTATGGTATACTTGGCCTTCCTTTGGGACATTTTTTATTTATCATATAATAACTACTAATTAAAGCTAATTATAGATTTATGTGACCTGATTAAAAATAAGTAATGAAATGTTGATAATGTTTACAATCACCTATAGATCAATATGAAACCATATTTACATGTTTATTCACCTACTCACACATATCCACCACCATCTCTCAATTAAAAACTTACATACAAATATAGAGGAAACAATCTCTATGTTGAAATTCACTTCCTACCAATGGAAATCTGGCATAAGAAAAATCTACTGTTCAGTTGGCATTTATATAAACTCATATAGAGTATAGTCTCATATAGAGTATCCTTTGTCCTAGTAGAGTTTCAGCTTGGAAGAAAATTGTACTACTAAAGTTAACTTATTCTAAACAGCCTAGAATAACTAAAATCAATTTTATAAAAGTAAATTTACATTTCATATGATGTGTGTCATTAGATAACAAGGAGGAAATGTCATGATGTCAGAGATCAATTTTATTTCATCATTCTACTTTGCATTTTCCTCCGAAAGCAACCTGAGAATGATTTCAAATTAACTTCTTTATTAATCTTCATGCTCTCACATAAAATGGCAAAAAACAAAAGGACTTAGAGGAAAGTATTAGTGAACCAGCTAAATTTACTAAAATATCCTACCATAAAAGTTTCAACATCCCTTATATTACCTCAATAGAGACACTCAATGGTCATCTCTTCCTCTACAAAAAATAAAACAAAACAAAACTAGCAAATACATATCTATATTTTAAGATGGGTAGAACTGGAAATCATTGAGAGAAAGAGATAGGAGCCATATAAGAAGTAGAGACCAGGATCAAAGTCATAGAGAGTAAAATAAAGAACACTGATTTCTGTTCTTGAGCCACAAAAGATTACCCACCACGGGTAAATGGGAAAGTTACAGAAGATTTTATCATTGTGGACACCAGAAACTTGCTACAGAACAGACAACCCTGTAAAACCACTTAGGGGAATTGTGCAGTCCACACAAAAAAAGAGGAACTTGCGTTATTCTTCCCTCAAATTCTAGAATTAAGGCTGCTATAAAGTGGACAACTCCAAGGGGATTTACTTCCCTGGAGAACAATGACAATATTGTCTCATACTGCTCGCTGGTATTGATTCCACCACAGTGTATCTGAAAGAAACTGCTTGGCTGAGCTGCCACCCCAATCAACCTAAACCACCAGTATAAGCTATCAAACTCCAGGGCCAGCTAAACTGCTAATCTAATAAATCAAGAGTGTGTGCCCTCCTTTACCAAATTCATAACTGGCTTGAGTAGCTGCTGCAATAGTCTGGGCTATTTAGATGTCACCAGAAACTATTGGACCTGAGTGTGTATTCCCTGCATCATGACCTCTGCTGCCAATGACAGTCACCGTTTGCCTCTAGGGCACACTACTACTGCTGTGCTTGATGTGCTTGTATCACCACGTTCACTGTCAGAGTGATTAACAGTGACTGGGCAGTCACTTTTACTGTTTCTTGTATTTGATACCTGCCTGGTCCACTAGAGTAATTCCTTCATACAGCTGGAAAAGATACACGAAGGCTTTATTATAACATCCAAAACAAATGTAGCCTATCGAAATGATACCACATATTTTCTTCAAAAGAAATTCATGTGTATTGAAAATAACATAAAAGCAACAGAAAAATGATCAACAAGAAAGGCAAAAATATGAATATAGAGTCATAAAAATATGAAAAAAGTGAGGTAGAATGATATTACTCCTGCATGGGGAACAGAGGTAAAAGCTATAATTCTATTTATTCAACAAAAATTGTTTATCAACATACTTCAAAGAAAAAGATATTGAAAAATGCCAGATAAAATATTTTTAAAATGATTGTAAGGAAATTCAAGAAACACAAAAACAATGAAATTAGAAAAAATATATGATATGAATAAATATTCAGCAAATAAGAGATGTAGAAAAATAATTGAATAGAAATCTTTTTTTATTTATCCCTTTATTCACATTTGGGCTATTTCTGCCCCCCATCCTCCACCCCCACTCTCTCCCCCCCTTAAGCCCACTCACTTCCAGGCAGAACTTGTTCTGCCCTTTTCTCAAATTTTGTTGAAGATAAGACATAAGCAATAATAAGAAAGACAAGGCATTTTTGCTAGTTGAGATAAGGACAGCTATAGAGATTCCTAGCATTGCTTCCACACAAGTGTATTACAACCCCAGTTGATTCATCTCTACCTGACCTATTTCCTAGTTCCTGATCCCCTTCTTATATTGACCTCTGTCCCTTTAAGTCTTCTGTATTATCTCCTCTGCAGTGGGGACATCAAACATTTTCATGGTTTGGGTTTCCTACCTTTCCCCATTCCTCCCATATGTGCTCTCCCTTCTCATGTGACCCAAGTCCAAATACATTGCTGTATTTGCCCTAGATCTAAGTCTACATATGAGAGAGAACATATGATTTTTGGTCTTCTGAGCCTGGCTAACCTCACTGAAGATGATCTCCAGTTCCATCCATTTACTTAAAAATAATAAGATTTCATTCTTCTTCATGACTGACTAAAATTCCATTGTGTATAAATTCCACATTTTCTTAATCCATTAGTCAGTAGTGGGGCATCTTGGCTGTTTCCATAACTTGGCTATTGTGAATAGTGCTGCAATAAACATGGCTGTGCAGGTGCCTCTGGAGTAATCTGTGTCTCATTCCTTTGGGTGTATCCCCAGGAGTGGGATTGCTGGATCATATGCAGATCTATGTTTAGATTTTTAAGAAGCCTCCGTTTTCCAGAGTGGTTGCACTAGCTTGCATTCCCACCAGCAGTTTACGCAGGTCCCTTTTCCCCACATCCTCGCCAACACCTGTTGTTGGTGGTGTTTTTGATGATCAAGCCACCATCTTCATCCAAATTCCCAGGGTTGGAAACCTTGAAGGAGTGGCCCTACTTGGAAAGGAAAGAGGCCTTCGAGAAGAATCCATGTTCCTACTGTAATAAAGATGAACTTTGTTATTGCTCCAAACTCTTAAATAAAATGGACTGACTTTAGCCAAAATATCAGAAGGCAGTGATTGATAATGACATTGTAGAGGACTAAGGAGGTCTGGGGGCCTCCACAGCTCTCTTGGCTTCAATCATTTCCCTCAGAAGCCCCAGGTAGTAGTGTAGTGTTAACAGAGAGGACAGACAGGTTAGGACCAGACCTCTTCCCCCTTTTCTGATGACTTACTGGAAACTCCCCATCTGACCCCAAAGACTGATAAAGGGATAGTTGTCAACCTTTACCTCCAGGTGGGTGCCCAGGTCAGTTGAGCAGACAGTGGCCTCATCACAGCTTACCTTCCTGCTTGCCCAGCAATGGTATTCCTTAGTGACCTCCCTGGTTCTTTTCCACTAGCCCGCTACATCCGTCCAAAGCCTGTATGTGGCAGTGGGCTCTAGCTCTCTTGCTAGAGATGCACTCCACAGGCTCTCTTCGAATAAAGCCTTTGCTGATGTGGAGCTACCTCCCACCTTTCCTTCTCTGCTTCTCTTCAGTCTGGCAATAGTGATGAGAGGAGGGGTGGGGAAAGATATCAAAGGGATCGATAATGACTTTGTGGAGGACTGAGGAGGCCTGGGGGGCTTTGATGGTCCTCTCAGCTTCATTCAGTCATCACAGAAACCTCAGGTACAAGTGACAGAGGGGAAAAAAAACCCAGTAAGTTTCTGCCTTGACACAGAGACTACTTATTCAGATTTGTGAAACCCTGGAAAAAAAGGACGAACCCCACACTGCCTATCACTTGAGTATCAGACAAGTCCTAAGAGCAGGCTTTCCTATAGTCATTGGAATGCAACCTGGGTGTTCTGCACCTAACTCACAGCTTCCTGCATGTGTGAGACTTTCCAGTTCAGTTGTTAGGAAGGGATTTACTCTGTAAAGTCAATGTTCAAGTGACCTTCATCCCAGAGAAACAGAAAATGCAATTATAAAAGTGCCACCTGAACAGACACTTTTTCTTCAATTGATATTAACCCAGGAGTAGCCCTCAGAGGGTGAGTCAATCCCCCTGATAGTCACTAAATGACAATCCAGCAGTATGGGCTGAGGGGTCTGCAGGAAAAGCTAAAACCTGCATGCCTGTTAAGATTCTTTTGAAAGAAGCTACAATAACTGCTCATTTAAAGCAATAATCTTCGAGGCTGGAGGCAGCTGAGGGAGTCCAACCCATACTCGAAAAAGTTTTACATACAATTTGATTCAACCTTGCCAATCACCTTATAATACTCCTGTACTACTTGTGGGTAGTACTTGTGAGGAGTTTTGTTTTGTGCATGTCCAGAGTGCCATTAAGGAAATTGTCCAGGACTTTCACCTTATGATGCCTAACATCTACCCCTCTTTCAAAGGCTTTACATGGTTCACTGTCCTCAATCTCAAAGATATTTTCTTTTGCATTCTACTGGGAAGTAAGTCAAAATTACTTTTCTCCTTTGAATGGACACTTAATTCAAAACTACTCTTCGATACTTTTGGGCACTACTCCTTCAGGGATTTTAAAACTCACCTATGATCCTTGGGGAGATATTGGTGAAAGATCTAATAATACCGCAGTTGAATCAAGGGACTTTGCTACAATATGTAGACGACTTCTTGATCAACAGTCCAACTTATGAACTTTGCCTGGAAAACACCATTCAGATTCTCAATCCCCTCGTGGAGTATGTGTTTAAGATGTCTTCCACGAAAGTGGAAATTTGCAAAGAACAAGTGATTTGCCTGGGGCTCCAATTGCAATAAGGTTGAAGGCACCTAATGTTTGACAGGATAAAAAGCTATTGCCAGGTTCCCAGGATCCATAAACAGCAAAGAGGTTTCCTGTGAATGGTAGAGTATTGCAGGATATGACACCCAACTTTGGACTTATAGCAAAGCCCCTATATGAGGCTTAGGTCAGAACAGTTCTTGAAACTTTAATTTGGTCAGCAGAATGTAAAACCACTTTCAGAACTCTCAAGGACCAAGTAATGTCTGCCTCTGCTTTGGAACTGCCTAACAAGGCCCAGACTTGAGGGATTCCACACGCTAGTTCTTGTCACTTGCCCTGTACTCCAAGAAAAGAGGGATGGTGAGGTCAGAGAAAGGAGATTGTTGGAGTTAGTTTCAGTCCTTCTATCATCTGCTTTTCCTGG